AGTAGTCCAGCCTACAGCCAGTAGTCCAGCCTTTTTGCTATTTTAGCAGCTTAGCTCATTTCCTCCTTGCCCTTATGTGGTATATGCTCTCCAGTGTGTTCCTGCCTGTGCTCCTATGTACAACTCGGTCTGAATTACTTCTCTCCTGATTCCTGTTCCTGATTTTTGGCTCCTGACTTTAATGACTTCTGGTTTCCTGACTCTGGCTCATTTGATAAACTGCTCTGGCATCCAAACCCTGGCTTCTGTTTTGACTACGTTTATGATCTATGTTATATTTGCTATATCATTAAAGGTGTGATTTTAACTGCACTTTCTGTCTCTGCCTGGTTCATGGTTCCTGACATATTCCCAGGGGTCATCCCTCTGCCCCAGGAGCCCCTAGTTTAACGGTAGTATCCGAGTACTTTTGTTTTTTGACTGACCACAGTTCCTGTTTAAATGCCCAAAGTTCCCACACTGCCAGCGCTTCAGGTAACTTATCTGAGGCAGTAAAGTCGTCACAGCTGTCTACATCCTTCTTCTCTAGGCGGTTCCACAGAATTTGGAGGGCTACCGCAAAGTGGGTGAGGCTTTCGTCCTCCTGCTGTCTGCGGATGAAGAACCTCCATCTTAGTTCCAGAACTGCTACATTTTCCCCAAACAGGCCCGCCAGGTGCACCACAATCTGTTCTAGGATGGCCCAGGAATCCTCCAATTGCCCAATCATTGTTTGGCGGATGTCATCCTCCAAGGAGTCTATGGCCAGCTCTGAAATCAGCCAGGTGGGCACCTGATACAGGCAAGTCACTCTCTCCAGTCTCTCTTCCCATTGCACAAAAGGGGCATATCCTGCCAAATACATCAAGTGTGGGAATGTGCAGCATGGTGCTGAGGGCAGTAACAAACAGAGTCCAATCAAGGCCAAAGCAATATATTGTAGAAAAGTTCAGCACAGAACAAACAGGCCTGCAGGAAGGCATGCCCGTCCAGAGCCACTTACAAACTGTAACAGTGGTGAATCAGCAGTCTGAAGATTCGAAGATGCCGACAGCTTCTGCCATGAAGAACTGTGTACAGCTTGGCTGGTCCACACCCAAACAGAAGGCTTCCTGAGAAAGAGATAGCGTAATCCCTGCGCTTTTTCTACTTCTCTGGTACCTCTCACTGCCAATATGCATTGTCTTATTCCTACACTAACCACTCGCACAATGTGCCCCAAAGCAGGGACCTGGGGCCTTAAATAGGTTCTGCTCTCACCCAAGATGGCCACTAAAGTCACATGGAGTGTCAGCATCCAATTGTATAGCTGTCTCCCTGTGACTGAGGAAATCATAAAGGTACCATGTTCCTCACAACTTCTTTCTCCTACTGCATTGCTGCTGCGATTGAGTGCCACCTACAGTGCAGACTATCTGGAATATTCAGTTCAATTTTGGGCACCAATTCACAAAAAGAACATTGGGGAACTGGAGAAAGTACACAGAAGAGCAACCAAAATGAAAAGAGGCATGGAGGAGCTCAGCTATGAGGAAAGATTAGAGGAACTGAATTTATTCTCTCTTGAGAAGAGGAGATTAAGTGGGGATATGATCAACATGTATAAATACATCAGTGGTTCATATAGTGAACTCAGTGTAGCGTTATTCACCTTGAGGTCATCACAAAGGACAAGGGGGCACTCTTTAAGTCTGGAGAAAAACAAATTTAATCTCTAAACATGGAAAGGTTTCTTCACAATAAGAGCTGTAAAAATGTGGAATAGACTCCTCAAGAGTTGGTTCTGGCCAGCTCAGTGGATTGCTTTAAAAAAGGCCTGGATTCTTTTTTGGATACACAGAATATAACTGGTTACTAAAAAATTTATAGGTGAAGTTGATCCAGGGAATATCCAATTTTCTCTCAGGGGATCAGGAATGAATTTTTTCCCCTGCAGGAGCTTTGCTTGCTTTTTTTTGTCTTCCTCTGGATCAACTGTGGGTGATGGATTATAACTTTTCTTTTTTTTTATGGTTGAACTGGATGGACTTTTGTCTTTTTCAACCAGACTAACTATGTAACTATATGTAAATGGATCCGATTCCATCTGGATCATTTTTTCATTATGTTTTATCAGATGTTTCAAACATAAAAAATAAGGCCCACAATTATTGCATAATGTCATCTGAATGAAACGAATGAATACAACAGGAAGACTACAGACTGCATCTGGAAAGTAATATATATTAAATAGTAGATAAGAAGTCCCCAAACACCATATTTCTGTGGAAGTGAAAGTGACCAGATAGTAGATAAGAAGTCCCCAAACACCATATTTCTGTGGAAGTAAAAGTGACCAGATCTTCTTATAACTTCAGTCGTGTTGCACCAACGTGTATGGCCAAACTGTGCACTCACCAGACTACATAGGCCAACAGAGCAGCCAGCAAGCATATAAGACCACTAGAGATGAGCGAAGTATTCAAAAATTCGATTCGGCTGATTCGGCGAATTCGCGGAATAAATTCGATTCGAGTCGAATATATTCGCTGCGAATTTAACTTATAAAAAGGGTGTTTCTAGGCTTCAGAGAGCCTTTATATTAGTGCAGAACACTGTACCTTTAATTTAAATGCCCTTGGAGTCTGCTGGGGAAGAGAAATAATACTGTCAGTCAGTATGACATGCAGATGAGTGCCGTCGATCTTAGAATCACCGCACACTTCACTCATTTGGGCAGTCACGGGGCCAAAACCAGAGTGTGGAGCCACAGTGTGGCGGTGGAGGCAGCAGCAATGGGAGGCCATACAGCACCCTATGACAAAATGGAACCCACCAGCAGTGTGAGGAGACCTGAAAGTGGCACATGGCAGAGTGTGGCGATGGAGACAGCAGCAATGGGAGGCCGTACAGGGACCCATGAGACACTCTGGACCTGGCAGCAGCATGAGGAGGCGGTACAGGGGCCCATGACAGATTACGGGCCTGGCAGCAGCATGAGGAGTCGGTACGGGGGCCCATGGCAGATTACAGGCCTGGCAGCAGCAATGGGAGGCCCGTAATCTGCCAGCACCCTATGACAAAATGGAACCCACCAGCAGTGTGAGGTGACCTGAAGTGTGCACATGTGGCATGGAGAGTGTGGTGATGGAGACAGCAACAATGGGAGGCCGTACAGGGACCCATGACACACTCTGGACCTGGCAGCAGCAAGAGGAGGCAGTACAGGGGCCCATGGCAGATTACGGGCCTGGCAGCAGCAATGGGAGGCCGTACAGGGACCCATGAGACACTCTGGACCTGGCAGCAGCATGAGGAGGCGGTACAGGGGCCCATGACAGATTACGGTCCTGGCAGCAGCATGAGGAGTCGGTACGGGGGCCCATGGCAGATTACGGGCCTGGCAGCAGCAATGGGAGGCCGTACAGGGACCCATGACACACTCTGGACCTGGCAGCAGCATGAGGAGGCGGTACAGGGGCCCATGACAGATTACGGGCCTGGCAGCAACATGAGGAGTCGGTATACAGGGGCCCATGCTATGAGGAGGCGGGGTAACTAGGGGCCCAAGATTACGGGCCTGGCAGCAGCAATGGGAGGCCCGTAATCTGCCAGCACCCTATGACAAAATGGAACCCACCAGCAGTGTGAGGAGACCTGAAAGTGGCACATGGCAGAGTGTGGCGATGGAGACAGCAGCAATGGGAGGCCGTACAGGGACCCATGAGACACTCTGGACCTGGCAGCAGCATGAGGAGGCGGTACAGGGGCCCATGACAGATTACGGGAACCCACCCTGGCAGCAGCATGAGGAGTCGGTACGGGGGCCCATGGCAGATTACGGGCCTGGCAGCAGCAATGGGAGGCCCGTAATCTGCCAGCACCCTATGACAAAATGGAACCCACCAGCAGTGTGAGGAGACCTGAAAGTGGCACATGGCAGAGTGTGGCAATGGAGACAACAGCAATGGGAGGCCGTACAGGGACCCATGACAGATTACGGGCCTGGCAGCAGCATGAGGAGGCGGGTACAGGGGCCCATGACAGATTACGGGCCTGGCAGCAGCAATGGGAGGCCCGTAATCTGCCAGCACCCTATGACAAAATGGAACCCACCAGCAGTGTGAGGAGACCTGAAAGTGGCACATGGCAGAGTGTGGCGATGGAGACAGCAGCAATGGGAGGCCGTACAGGGACCCATGACAGATTACGGGCCTGGCAGCAGCATGAGGAGGCGGTACAGGGGCCCATGGCAGATTACGGGCCTGGCAGCAGCAATGGGAGGCCCGTAATCTGCCAGCACCCTATGACAAAATGGAACCCACCAGCAGTGTGAGGAGACCTGAAAGTGGCACATGGCAGAGTGTGGCGATGGAGACAGCAGCAATGGGAGGCCGTACAGGGACCCATGACAGATGAGGAGTCGGTGGCCTGGCAGCAGCAGCATGAGGAGGCGGTACAGGGGCCCATGGCAGATTACGGGCCTGGCAGCAGCAATGGGAGGCAGTAATCAATGGGGGAGGCCCGTAATCTGCCAGCACCCTATGACAAAATGGAACCCACCAGCAGTGTGAGGAGACCTGAAAGTGGCACATGGCAGAGTGTGGCGATGGAGACAGCAGCAATGGGAGGCCGTACAGGGACCCATGACAGATTACGGGCCTGGCAGCAGCATGAGGAGTCGGTACAGGGGCCCATGACAGATTACGGGCCTGGCAGCAGCAATGGGAGGCCCGTAATCTGCCAGCACCCTATGACAAAATGGAACCCACCAGCAGTGTGAGGAGACCTGAAAGTGGCACATGGCAGAGTGTGGCGATGGAGACAGCAGCAATGGGAGGCCGTACAGGGACCCATGACACACTCTGGACCTGGGAGCAGCATGAGGAGGCGGTACAGGGGCCCATGACAGATTACGGGCCTGGCAGCAGCAATGGGAGGCCCGTAATCTGCCAGCACCCTATGACAAAATGGAACCCACCAGCAGTGTGAGGAGACCTGAAAGTGGCACATGGCAGAGTGTGGCGATGGAGACAGCAGCAATGGGAGCCGTACAGGGACCCATGACAGATTACTGGGCCTGGCAGCCAGCATGATGAGGAGGCGGGTACAGGGACAGCTAAGCCCTCATGACAGATTACGGGCCTGGCAGCAGTGAGGACGGTACAGGGCAGCATTACGGGCCAATGGGAGGCCCGTAATCTGCCAGCACCCTATGACAAAATGGAACCCACCAGCAGTGTGAGGAGACCCTGAAAGTGGCACATGGCAGAGTGTGGCGATGGAGACAGCAGCAATGGGAGGCCGTATGGGGACCCATGAGACACTCTGGACCTGGCAGCAGCATGAGGAGGCGGTACAGGGGGCCCATGACAGATTACGGACCTGGCAGCAGCATGAGGAGGCGGTACGGGGGCCCATGGGCAGATTACGGGCCTGGCAGATGACGACGAGGCTGCCAAGTGTGATCAGCCTCATCATCATCAATTAGGGTCTCCGCCTCACTACTAGCCCCCTCGGCTGCGTGTGGGTCAGGAGACAGACCTGTCTCTAGACCGGCTACCGAGCCACTCTCCTCGCTGAGTAAGTACTTCTTCGCCTGGCTGCTGAAGAGGCGGATGTCTCCCCCCGTTCCTGACCGCCTCTGTTAGCTCTTCCTCACTGTACAGTGGGGCTGAGCCCACAGCATGCGATACTTCGCTTGGTGAGGGAACACCAAAGGACAGGGGCAGGTAGAGGACACGTGATTTCAGTGGGCTTGCTCCCGGGCCATGCCAACTAACGGTTGTGTCTGACGTATTCTGTGTCCCCACCGACCGTTGGCTGTAGGTGTCAGAGGTGACCTGGGAAGAGGAAGACGACCGAGCCAACCAATCAATGATGGCAGGGTTGTCGGTGGAGACACGATTCCGCTGGATCAGTACACCGGGAGCACTGGCCTCTGGCTGCGACTAGTGTGCCTCGAACCCTTCCTCTGCTGCCACGTCTGCTCGCTCCTGAAATATTGCCTCCTCTGCCACTCCTCTGCGTGTTGTCTGACATACTCTTTAATTCAACGATTCTGTGTCCCTGAGTAACAATTCTGTGTCCCTGAGTAACAATTCTGTGTCCCTCAGTAACAATTCTGTGTCTGTCCCTGAGTAACAATTCTGTATCCCTGAGTAACAATTCTGTGTCCCTGAGTAACAATTCTGTGTCCCTCAGTAACAATTCTGTGTCCCTCAGTAACAATTCTGTGTCTGTCCCTGAGTAACAATTCTGTGTCCCTCAGTAACTATTCTGTGTCCCTCAGTAACAATTCTGTGTCCCTGAGTAACAATTCTGTGTCCCTGAGTAACAATTCTGTGTCCCTCAGTAACAATTCTGTGTCCCTCAGTAACAATTCTGTGTCCCTCAGTAACAATTCTGTGTCTGTCCCTGAGTAACAATTCTGTGTCCCTGAGTAACAATTCTGTGTCCCTGAGTAACAATTCTGTGTCCCTCAGTAACAATTCTGTATCTGTCCCTGAGTAACAATTCTGTGTCCCTGATTAACAATTCTGTGTCCCTGAGTAACGATTCTGTGTCCCTAAGTAACGATTCTGTGTCCCTAAGTAACGATTCTGTGGCCCTAAAGTCTCTCTGGCCCTAACTCTGTCCCTAATACAGACAGGTCTGTCTCTCTTGAATGACCGCAGGCTAATGGAGAATTGTAAGATGGCCGCAATTTATAGCTCCACCATTACACAGTGCTGGCTGGCTGGCTGCTGATTGGCTAATGCGATCACATGTCATGAATGAATGCATTATGGGTCAGCGCGCCTTGTCTGCGCGCCTTCCCAGAGATCCCCGCTCCGTCGCCACACATGTTGCCGCCATTTTTGGGAAAATTCGATTCGTGCATCCGAAGTTGGCTAATTTTCGGATTCGGCGCGAATCGAATCTTTCCCAATATTCGAAACGAATTCCACTTCGCCATGTTCGATTCGCTCATCTCTAAAGACCACGTCTTGTATATGTTAGGTAGGATGCCCAATTCTGCGGACTCCTTGAATCCCATCCACATAAGCACCACTGAAACATCTCTTCCATTGCCAGAACATAGTCTCAGGAAAAAGCCCAGAGAGATATTCATAGTGTAGTAATTTTTATTTAAAAAGATGAAATAATAGAAATAAAATATATATACACTCACATATATAAGTTGCCAAAGCGGACACCAACACAAACATCTCACTAGGGGTATCCCTCTCCCAACACCACCATTAATTCCCATGGCCGGTGTGTGCCGCAGCAACCGGATGTGGCGTCAGAGGAAGACCGGCAGTGACGTGTGCGGCTCAAGCATCAATGCATCTCGCGCTGTGTGCATCCTCAGGAACACATGACGGCTGTGTGAATTAAATACATTTTTTAAAATAAACCTTTCTGCACTATGAATATTGCTCTGGGCTTTTTTAAGCATACATTACTTTCCATATACATACAGTATGTGTTGTTTACATTTTTTCTATTACTAGGTGGAATTGTTGCATATCTGACTAGCACCCACTTTCACTTATTTTACGCATAATAAAAACTTCTTTTCACTTAAAGGGGCAGCTGCCTAGATTTTTGTGGGGGTTTTTTTTTACGTTTTGTGTGTTTGTTTCTTTTCAGCTTGGAGATGGCAGTTTTCTTCACTTTTAATTTCATTTTACAGACTGCACCTGCCTACGCTTTTGCTACCAAAGATAGTATGTGCTGTAAATTGCCTCCAGCATTGTTCCTGTTTATTTCTGCTGTAGGCTTCCATTTTGCTAAAGCCCAGAGCCCCTGAGCAGCCGTAATCTTTAGAATGTCAGCAGATCAACCTCTATAATGTTCGGCACAGTGCCAAAAAATAGAGAGCAACTGAGCATGTGCGGAGCAGGGTGAGAAAGTATTTTAATGGATTTTCTATTTCAATGGTTTTTATTACATTTTTTAAACAGTATAAACAGAGGCAATAAAACGCCCACGCAGGGGCTATCAATTGCACAGATAAACAAAATGCAAAATAAAAAAAAAAAAAAGGGGGAAAAACAATGCTCTAATGCCAACAGGGCAAAAGGTACGCCCACGCAGGGGCTATCAATGGCACATAAGTTACAAAACATTAATGTAACTGATTATAACAACTAAATGCAGCTGTCCTAGTCACACCAAAAACAAAGAGAGAGAGAAAAAGGAAAAAAAAAAAAAAAAAGAAAAAAGGTGGGGGCAAAGAGCAGGGATTCAAGAGCGCCAACACCGAACGCCATTACATCCCCAGACTAGCCGGGGAGAGTGAGGGAAGGGCATATTGCAACCACGGCTCCCATATTTTCAAAAATTTACGTTGGGAGTCATTGCGGATACTCGACATCTGTTCGTTGAGCATCATAGAGGTCATACGATCCCGCACCCCCTGAAGAGGGACAAACGGACTCTTCCAGGCCTGAGCAATTGTTCTAGTGGCGGATAAAAACAGATAGGAAGCCAACTTCTGCTGGTGAGCCAAGAGGCCCGGTATGGGGCAATGAAGCAAAGCATACCGAACATCCCGGCGTATGGAGAGATGGAAGAAAGTGAAAAGGAGGCCAAATACACGAGACCAAAAACGAAACAGTCTCGGGCATGACCACCAGATATGCAATACATCACCACGATGACCACAACCCCGAAAACATTGATCACTACAGGCAGGGTTAGCCCGGGCCAACCGAGCCGGAACCCAGTACCAACGAAACAATACCTTATAGGCTGCCTCCAGTGTGGTCGTATTAAATGAGCATTTAGCTATGAGTGACCAGGCCTTATTCCAGTCCTCCGGATCCACAGCCACTCCCAGGTCGCACTCCCACTGAACAACATATGAAAGAGAAGTATGCGACGAGCGTCTGTTCAGAGCTGCATAAAGAAGGGATATAAGGCCCGGAGCGCCCGGACGCTGTTGGCAAAGCTGTTCAAAGGCAGATTTCTGGTACGGGAACGCAGAAGTACCCCGCAGCGAATTTTAATGGATTTTAAGCAGTATAGGCCCTTATTTTTAATGTTTTACATACAGTCAGGTCCATAAATATTGGGACATCAACACAATTCTAACATTTTAGGCTCTATACACCACCACAATGGATTTGAAATGAAACAAACAAGATGTGCTTTAACTGCAGACTGTCAGCTTTAATTTGAGGGTATTTACATCCAAATCAGGTGAACGGTGTAGGAATTACAACAGTTTGCATATGTGCCTCCCACTTGATAAGGGACCAAAAGTAATGGGACAGAATAATAATCATAAATCAAACTTTCACTTTTTAATACTTGGTTGCAAATCCTTTGCAGTCAATTACAGCCTGAAGTCCGGAATGCATAGACATCACCAGACGCTGGGTTTCATCCCTGGTGATGCTCTGCCAGGCCTCTACTGCAACTGTCTTCAGTTCCTGCTTGTTCTTGGGGCATTTTCCCTTCAGTTTTGTCTTCAGCAAGTGAAATGCATGCTCAATCGGATTCAGGTCAGGTGACTGACTTGGCCATTGCATAACATTCCACTTCTTTCCCTTAAAAAACTCTTTGGTTGCTTTTGCAGTATGCTTTGGGTCATTGTCCATCTGCACTGTGAAGCGGCATCCAATGAGTTCTGAAGCATTTGGCTGAATATGAGCAGATAATATTGCCCGAAACACTTCAGAATTCATCCTGCTACTTTTGTCAGCAGTCACATCATCAATAAATACAAGAGAACCAGTTCCATTGGCAGCCATACATGCCCACGCCATGACACTACCACCACCATGCTTCACTGATGAGGTGGTATGCTTAGGATCATGAGCAGTTCCTTTCCTTCTCCATACTCTTCTCTTCCCATCACTCTGGTACAAGTTGATCTCGGTCTCATCTGTCCATAGGATGTTGTTCCAGAACTGTGAAGGCTTTTTTAGATGTCGTTTGGCAAATTCTAATCTGGCCTTCCTGTTTTTGAGGCTCACCAATTGTTTACATCTTGTGGTGAACCCTCTGTATTCACTCTGGTGAAGTCTTCTCTTGATTGTTGACTTTGACGCACATACACCTACCTCCTGGAGAGTGTTCTTGATCTGGCCAACTGTTGTGAAGGGTGTTTTCTTCACCAGGGAAAGAATTCTTCGGTCATCCACCACAGTTGTTTTCCGCCGTCTTCCGGGTCTTTTGGTGTTGCTGAGCTCACCGGTGCGTTCTTTCTTTTTAAGAATGTTCCAAACAGTTGGTTTGGCCATGCCTAATGTTTTTTCTATCTCTCTGATGGGTTTGTTTTGTTTTTTCAGCCTAATGATGGCTTGCTTCACTGATAGTGACAGCTCTTTGGATCTCATCTTGAGAGTTGACGGTAACAGATTCCAAATGCAAATAGCACACTTGAAATGAACTCTGGACCTTTTATCTGCTCATTGTAATTGGGATAATGAGGGAATAACATGCACCTGGCCATGGAACAGCTGGGAAGCCAATTGTCCCATTACTTTTGGTCCCTTAACAAGTGGGAGGCACATATGCAAACTGTTGTATTTCCTACATCGTTCA